TTTGGGCTGGCGTCTCCGAGGTCCCGGTCCCCCGATCGGCCCACAGACCCCGTGCCGCCTTCGGGAGGACCTCTCGGTATCAGGAGACCGAGGCCGCGGGCACGCCGGAACCAGGGCCCAGGACGTGCGTAGGTCGCGGGGGAGGAAGGTTGGGGGCCTGGGGACCGGCCGCTGGCAGGCAGGCGCGACAGTCATCCTGGTGTTTCTCCCCCAGAACACAGATGCGTGGAATCCGCGAAGATCCGAGCGAAATATCCCGACCGGGTTCCGGTGAGTGGACTCCCCGCCCCTTCACCTCACTGTCACCTCTGTCTTCTAGGACTCGTGATGGGGCCCGAACCATTCAAGAGTTGTCAACTTGAGGTTCCGCCCCGGTTACAGTAGCCGACTGGACAGACGGGGTTGGGGATAATCCGGGACCTGAACTTGAGGGGCTGGGGCTGGAGCTGGCGCTGTTTAGGGTGCTTCAGTGCTGAATCTTCCGATCTAGGCCAGTGAGCTGCCTGCAGTCTCTGGGCTCCCTGGCCAATTATATAAGGAACGATATTCTAGGACAGGGCAACAGGTCACTGCCACTTTGGGGAACGGTGGTGGAGGGAGCCTGTCACTTTGGCCTTGGAAGTGGTACTTTAGTCTCAGGACGACAGTCTCATCTTTAACTTTGAGCCCCCATGTTTACCTGACTAATAGCTCCCTTTTCTCACCCCCGCCCTGTCATCCTTTCCTGACAAAAAAAAAATTCTGAGAAGCCGCTGAAAACCCCTTCTCCCTTGGTTTTCCCTTCATCTATAATAAATATGATGCTATATTTCTTCCATCGTAGGGGAGATGGTTTCTGCAATCCCTATTGATTTTTAAAGGACAGCAGGCCTGTTATTGTAGTTCACTGCTTGTGAACCCTTCCTTAGGAGATGGGGCAGGAGGGACACATTTGAAACCCAGTTCAGAGAAAAGCAACAGGCCGCATGAAGAGCGTGGTTCCTGGCTGGCTGGGATTGCCAATCGTTCCCATTAGTCCATCCTTTCTCATTTCCTGTGTTCCTGGGATCTTGATTCCCCTGCAGTGTGAAGGCAGATCCATACTTGGGTGCTGGAATAATAGGTTGTAGATGAAA